CTTCATTTTTTCAGAAAAAAATTAGAAAGATGACCCAAATCTCTAAGTCCTGTAGTGTTATTTAACCACTTCAATGTATGTCTCTAATAGGCTCCTAGTATAATTGATTCAGAAAGAGGAATATTTGTTTGAGTCTATTGCTATGGTACTCTCTTTAAACTTTACTCTTTTTACAGATAATACACATGACATGTTGCTATATTAGCTTTAGAATTTAAGTACATATTTTCTAATTATAGTTTTATGGAGATAACTGTAGATTCACATACCATTCTGAGAAAAAATATAAAGAGATCTCTTAAATACTCTGTCTAGTTTCCCCTAATAGTAATATTTAGCAAAATTATAATATACTATGGTCAACCAGGATATTCACATTGATAGACTCCATCAATTTCACTCAGCTTTCCTTCGTTTTACCTGTAGTTGTGTGTGTGTGTAAATACATATTTTAAAAATGTTGTCTATTTTCATCACCCTCTATTGCTTACTTTTCCTAAATTTTGTCATTCTCTTTAATAGACTGGTTTTTCCTTTCAGAACATTAAGCAAGAATTAAGAAGTGTACACCAAAAAGACAGAGAGGGTGCTACTATGGCGTGGGGGCCAGTAAAGACATTTTAATTGAAGCTTTTAAGTAAATGAAATTTTCTGGGGGAACCCAAAAGTGCTAATGGCAACTTGTACACTCAGAAAACCATTTGAGAATGAACCAGTAGAGGTGAAAGCATTATATTTTAGGCCATTAGTGGTCTCAGATCAAAAGATGCCTTCTAGATAGAGTACTCAGCAAAATACCCTATGTTACGATCCTTTCATTCCCTAATCTAAGATTGGATCAGACATTATAATCAAATATCGTGATCATGTTACCTCTTTGCTAATATTTCCTCCTTAAATTCTATGCAATTTGACTATAAAAGCTCATTTCCCTAATCTAAAAACATGCTGCAGGTACTGTCGGGTCATTAGTCAAATATTGTGACTGAACTATTGTGAAATATTGTGAAACTGACCTATTCTTGTTACTGGCTCCAGGCTTTCATGCACAGCTTGCTCAGAGGGCTCACTATTACCCTGGTCAGATGCTTGATATAGAAATAAGATTTTATGGGGTGTAACAGAATCTCACTGACATTAACCCTTTTGTTGATACAAAGGCCAAAAGCAGAAAGAAATTTCTCTTTCTACCTCAGATTTTTAAGGTGTAAGACTTTCTCTTGAAGACTCTAGAACATGAGTTAGCAAAATCTTGCCTAGGGGCTGACCACCTGTTTTTGTAAATAAAGTTTGATTAGAATACAGCCATTCATTTTTGTATTACTTATGGCTATTTTCATATCTCAATGACAGAGTTTAGTTATTTTTACAGAGACTGTACTGCCAATGAAGCCTAACGTATTTACTATTTGGCCCTTTGAGAAAAAATTTGCTAGCCCCTGGTCTAGAACAACACTGTTCTAGAACTTTTTTGATGATTGAAATGTTCTATATCTGGGCTGTCCAAAAACGTAGCCACTAGCCACCTACTGTTCTTGAGCACTAAAAGGTAACCAGTACAACTGAAAAATGGATTTTTAAATATATTTATTTTTAACTAATTTAAGTTTAAATTTAAATAGCCACATGCATCTAGTGGCAACTCTCCTGGACAGCATAAGAGGACTCAGACCTTTGAATGCTTTAATTTTCCAGTTTTTTTTTCTTTTCTCCTAACCCATGATACATTCAAATAGAGCTGGTTTGAGCAAAACTACTTAATCATGAAACAAGGAAGTAAAGAAAGGAAGTCTTTATTCATTTCTGAAAATATAGGATTTCCACTTAACTTAAAATGCTACTAAAAAGCATTTGTTTTCCTGCACAAGAGAAAACCAGTCCACTACTGTTTACTGAAACTCTATCTCTAAAACTTACTTCATATATGGAATAATAGGTTTAATAGTAATAGTTTAATAGATTTAATAGTTTCCTTCTATTCCTGTAAGGGTTTTTAAGCCTTCTGTTGCTTGGTCCTGTAATAGTTTAGCTGTTAAAATAACATCGTAAATTAAATATTTGAAAAAACTGGGGTGCAGTAGCTGATAATGTAGCAGTATCACTAGTTAAAAATGCATTAAAAATTAAACAAATTATAGTAGAATTATCAACTGTTTTCAATAAGACAAAGTAGTCCTTTGTAATATATTTTCATATGATTCTGAGTTCTGAGTCATCAAATCATCTAATTTGTTTACTTTGAAGCCATCAATCGTGATGTGGACACAAATGAGTCTGTACTACAGCAAATAACATTTTTTTCTTAATTCATATTTGCATATCTGCTATTCCAGACACTGAAACAGACAGAAAAATGTGGAACTTTTTAGGCAGAGAACTGAATATTTGAATAGGTCCCTTTTAATTACCTATATTTATCATTATTTACATATATATCATAACATATACATACTTACTATTATGACCAATATTTTAATTTATGTGATATTATATAACTAATTTTTTCTCTCCCTCCTATAGATGTATTTCTACTTCAGTTAATTTGACTATGTGACACTTTCATTCCATAAGACCTGCCTCAGTACATTTTCAGTGAAAAAAACAGATCTTGTGGAGCACGAGATTCTTGGATTCTAAGACAAGAAGGAGAAAAATCGGAAATGATAGGGAAACTATTCAGATTTCTCTTAAAGGTTAAGAGTTTGAAGTTTTCTAGTTAGTAACTGTTTCATGAAATAAATTTCTAATTAATTTAAACTAATACCAGATTTTGATCCTATCACTAATTCTTGGGGTCCTTGAGCAAGTCCTCGCTCCCTGGTAGCCTGACCTCTATCTCTAAAGATGGCCCAGGAGATGTCTATTGTTTCTTCTACAGTTTTATGATAAATTACTCCTCCCTCTTTGTCTCTGAATTCATTTTTATTCTGTATCTACTTCCCCACTATTTCTCTCCACTCATTGTGGTGCCCATTGAAATCGTATAGATGGGGTAACTGGCACTTCCATAACCAATTTTATTTTCCAGATTGAACAATTCAGGCCTGCCAGATCTCTCTTTAAGGATTTAGTTAACAAATTAGCCATCCAAAATCTGCACCTTTTGGGGGCAATATATATATATATTGCCTGCTGTATAAAATTGGTTTCATTTAGAAATCAGTGAATATAAGGATCTATTTTGTAGTGTTTATCTATTGTTTGCTTAAACCTTTGATTACTAAAATTAAGTGAGGAGTTCAGGTTGTGCAGAGAATTTAGAGTGAGAGCATTTATATTTAGAGTGCCAGTGGGGATCATTAGAGAGAGCTAATCTCATCTCAAGGGAGTTGGTTTTCTCACATGCCACACTAACACTGTTAGTGTGCACATACTAACAACTATATCTTTTAAACTTACCATCCTGCTGTTCCTTAGAGAACTGGATCTGTTAGAAAGAAAGTAACCACAAAGAATATTTTAACCAAACAAAATGTCCTGATTTTTAAGTGTATCCAAGCTCATTCCCTGAGTAATCTTTAAAGTAAGCTCCCAGAGGAAGCCTACTTTTCAGAGTTCAGGCATAGCTTGGACACTAACAGGTCGTGCCAAATAGCCTTGGAGATAAGTGATATTTCAGAAACCAGTGTTCTGCCTCCTTCTGGAGGAGAGAAGCTCAATTCACTTACCAGCAATCTGGTCAGCACTGAAGGACTGCAGTGGTGAAAGAGAGGGAGAAAGAAAGAAACAACTAGTACTTTTTCAAATGCATTGACAGAAGAAGGATTGCTTTCTGCTCTGAGATTTTTAAGAATCCATGTAGGTGTCATAGAAATAGAAGATTGCCTTAGGATATTTTTGAATCTAGGAAAAATAAAAAGCTATTGCAAAAGATAGTTACGGAACATCTCTCAAAGATTTAACAAATGCTAAATCAAATACTTCCTGGAATAATATAATAATCTATAGTGTATATATATGTTTAATACAGATACACTGTATTAAGAAGTGCGGATACATTGCATTAAAAAGATCACCTTAAATCTGTCTTCTGTTTAACCACCACATTTTTACCCAATGCATCAAAAGTATTTAATTTTAGGTATTGGCATTATTGGATTGGTTTCTAAGGTATAATATTTTTCTATAGGTGCAGGGTATTTTTTTCTAAATTTAAATACAATAAACATTATGTGATATAGCAAAAATTGGTGAAGCATAAAGTACTATTTTTGGGAGCAAGTTGTATTTTTCCAGTTGGCATAATAGATCATATTAATTTCCTCTATCTTCATCCCACCAACAAAAACCAAAAGTAGATTCTAAAGACTCATACTGAATATGTTCTCACCTCAGTTCTACTTTTTATCTGCCTTTCTTCTCGATAAGATCATATCCACTATCTATTCTCTCCTATAAATGACAAATAGTTTTCTCATAGGACCCACCATGATGGACCTGCTGGGCTGCAAAACAGCAACGAAGCTGAAGAGTGAGTTGAGGGCTCTTCCAATCCCTGAGTGGGGGCCTGGTGTGCTGAGGTTCCCTTTTATTTCTGGGGAAGCTGTGACCTAACAGCTAGCATTAGGTTTCAGAGAGAAGCGGCCACACCCCCTGGAGAGTTCAGCTTACTTAAGGCAAAGGGAAAAAGGTTATCTGTATCCTGAAGGCTATTTTTAGGAAACCAGAAACCAGGAGTGGACAGCCATGATGGGACCAAAGCCTCTCACTACTTTTATGGTCTCTATCTCTGAGATGTTTGTTCTTTTGGAGTGTCTTCAAGAAGCTTCTTCTTTGTTCAGGGGCAGAGGAGCTCAGAATTTCCTAAGCCTTGCTCTGTCCCATTCTCTTGGTGAATTTTGGACTCTGCAAACTCTAAGTTGTTAAGTTTTGGTATTAATGAAACTTACCGGATAGGACTGGTTTGGAGTTTCAAATAGCAACTGCTATACAAAGAACATCCTCTAAAACACTGTCTCATGTGGTAAAGTTCAGAGGACTTGAAAAGCCATCAATGTTCTGTGTGTCTCTTGGGGTTCGCCCAAATGATAATCTGGTCAGTTCTTGAAATCTCCAATTAAAGACCATTCTTTGTAAATTGTATTTTCAGAGGTATAGAGTGTCTCTAAGCTGGGAATGGTTTTCCCTTAGTTTCCTTACCTTAGGGGTAAATGTTTTCTTTCTTCCTTATTATCCTTATGGTGGCTGACCAGTCAGATTTTTAAAAATTTCTGAAGTTCTTCTAGGCAAAAAAGTCAATAGACCTTTTTTTTTTTTAATGTGTACTTAAAAAAATTTTTTTAAGCTTCATTCTTGGTTCTTTTTAAAGTTAAATTTATTGGGATGGCATTGGTTAAAACATTATATGAATTTCAAGTATACAGTGCTGTAATATACCAAGTCTAGTGTCCTTCCGTCACCATATATTTGACTTGTCTTTACCTTCTTTATCCTCCTTCTACCTGCTTCCCCTTTGGTAACCACCATACTGTTATCTGCTGATAGACCATTTTTGCATTCTTTTCTCCTCCTTCTATTTGAAATTTGAAAATTTTGTTTACGTTCTTTCTAGACGTGCTGATTCTGTTTGTGTCATGTCAAGCGTTTTATGGCTTAGTCTCCAGACTGAGAAAGAAAGGAACCCAGCGGGGGCTGTGAAATTCAAAGTTGTACTTTAGAATTTTAAAGATGTCTCAGGGTTTGGCTGGTAATTGGTTCTCATGGCAGCTTATTTAAAAACAGAGGAAAAGGTTGATCTTGGTATGTCCACTCAAGTTCAGATGATATGTTTATCAGTTTTCTACATATTTAAAGCTGCTTACAGGCATAAAGAATGTTGAAAGTGAATTTTAACTTAAGTATGTTTCGGCAACTATTTTCAAGGGAATGGTCACAAAAAACATAAAGTCTCTCTCTGCTAGACAGATTTAGACTTTGCAGATTTCTCTCAAGCATTCAGGAAGAAATCAACATTTAAATGTGTAGCACTTTTTGTCCAAAGATTACAGGTAATGAAAATAATTTCATAGGGTCTTGAGTCCCAAAATAAGTATCAAAAATATAATTTTAAAAATATTAATACTCAGATAAACATATTTTCATAAATAGATGGAAATTTTGAGAGGTTATTGGGAAATGAAAGTTAACAGAAAAATTTTATATGCTTTGAATCATTAAGGGAAAATGAGAAGAAGGGACAAAAGTAAAAGTTTGTAACCTTTGGTAATTGTGTAAAATTTGTAGCCTAATGATTTTTGATGCAAAAATTAAAGCCTTTAAAGCCTTGTTCTTTGATGTTTCTTTGCGTGTTTTTTTAGACTTAGCCTTGTAATTATTTGTATTGTGTCTTTAAATTTGGATTGACTATGATTAATATTGAAAATTAGCATATACCTTTAGTAGAGCTAATAACTATAAATAATACAAGATAAACTCATCAAAGTTGTCCTACATAATGCTCATTTTGGTGGGCTTTTTTTTTTTCCAGATAGACACATGTTCTTGAATACACATATAATATGGTTTTTTTGTATGAAATCTTTTGAGTAAACTGGAAATTCACTTTAAAAGTTGTGTTTGTGTTATGAATAAGCTATTCCTAACCACTTGGGTATTATGTAAAGGTTTATTATTATTCAGATAGAAGTGGTAGGCAGTTGCCAAACTATTTCACTCTAGTTCTTCTCTGTATCTTTATCATACAGAGAATGAGAGGTTAGATTTTTTTTTGTATTTATTGAGAATCAAAATAAACATTTAAGCAAGTTATTGACAACAGTAGAGAAGTCTGCAGTATAGTCTAGTCTAGAGAATAAACTATACTTTACAAGTTAGAAAACCTAGGTGCCATGCTCATAGTATAAACGGGAAATGCTATTTATTCTCTGGTACACTTTTACAAATAACGACAACTTCTTCTGGCATCTTTTCTTTGGTGTTATAATGGTGAAATAATCAGCCTTTTGAACAGAAGCATGATGTAAATAGAAAATGTCAGCTGATTTTGAAATCAGTTTGCTATGTCATCATTTGGTTTGTTTTAAAAATTTGATTTAAGTCTTTTCTATCTGGAATGCTGTTCTCTCATCCTTGCTTCTTAGAAATTAACTATTCTTCAAAACCCTGATAAAATCTCCTTTTGAAAAGACCTTTTCTCTGTTTCCCTAGCTCCTTCCTTCTGCTGAAAGATGTTTAACCTTCCAGATTGTAAACTTCTGAGAAGCACAGGTCATCATGGAAACCTTTTATTTTTGTCCATGATGAGAACTCAGAGATGGGCTTACCCCAACCTCTCCCTGCCTTATTCTTTGATTCCCCCTCGCCATAATTATAAAATACCTTGCCTATACTAGATGCTCAACAAATTTTCATTATTTTAAATCATTAGAACATCTGTATAATAAGTTCTTCATTCAAATATAAGCTCTTTCTTTAGAATATTGTGTTCTCTGAGGGAAGAAACTTCGTCAGTCCCTTCAAAGAGTTGAAACTCTAGAAGAGGTGCATACATTCTCCTTTGATACTGCACCTCCAGCACCTAAAACTGCCAAGCACATAGACATGCTCATCTAGAATTATTGCTGTATGTGCCTTTATATTTCTAGAGCCTTTCCTTAGATTTAGTGTAAAAGTTTATGATTAGAACTTCTAATTTGCCAACTTTCGATTTTTTTTTAAGTATTTTTTTTTCCATCTTTGCCTATACAATTATATTAGACCAGTAGTAAAAATAACTGTTCCACATTTTTATGACTCATGTACTATTTGTTATTGGAGTTAGCTCAGTGGCAGTGTACTGGTATTGAAAAGAATGGATTGTGTGAGAATGACTTCTGTTGCAATGTTTACAGATCTTTTCTCATTTTGAGAAACACTTTTCTAATAGTAATCATGAGGTCTGGTTAATTGATTAAAAGAAAGATAAAGTCTCTGGTATATAGAAAGAATTTATAGGAAAAAAGTCCTAAAATTATTCAATCAAACAGGCTCTGGAATTGATGTATGTTAAGATTTAGTATAACAAGCAGAGCTATAATTAAAGATGATCTGGAAGATATGTGATCTTGAATACTGAGGGAAAATGCTCTAGGAAGGAACATAGGCTGCAGTCTTTAAAAACTTCATCATCACTGCAGGATACGTTGGGACTTAATGACTGGTAATGTAAGTAGCTTACAGGTAAGTAAAGAAGTTAATCCAATCAAGGCCAGTTTTTAATCAACAAAACATTGCTGCACGTTCCCTGATTTAATGCCTGGCAGAGGATCAAGACCTGGATGTACGCAAACCCTAAGGAAAACTTATTAATTTTCACTCCAATCTCATAGAGTTTCTAGGAATCAATGTAAAAGGCCAACGGAAGTGCTATTTTGGAACTCTGAGAGTTTTGTACTTTAGAATAATTAATTTAACAAAGTATATACTTAGGCAGGTGATTCTAATATGGTA